ATGACATTATACCTGCTGAGTCCCCCCCGCCCAATGCTGCCCTCTACAGAATCCACCCCCCAAACCTCCAGGTATTTCCCTCCTTAGAGCTGGCAACCCTACATTCCCCTCAGTGCCTGTTGGTAGGCAACTAAGCTTGGTCCTGTCACCTACTTTGGCCTTTGGGAGAAAACACATTGGGGCCAGTCCTGATAGGGTTGCCAACTCCAGATGGGAAATTCCTGGAGATTTGAGGGATGGAGCCTGAAGAGGGTGAGGTTTGAGGAGGGGTGGGACCTCAGACAGGTACACTGCCATAGACTCCACCCTCCAAACCAGTCAGTCCCACATAGGGAACCATTGTTGCCAATCTCCAGGTGAGGGCTGGAGAGCACTCAAAATTACAACTGCTCTGCAGAAGGGAGGGCAGAAGTCAGCTGAAGTCAAAGGGGCAGATAATGGTAGGTTGATGGTTAGCTGGGAAGGAGATGGGGTTGCCAACTCCACCTTCCAAACCAGCCATTTTGTCCTGGGTAACAATTGCTGCCAATCTCCAGGTGAGGGCTACAGATCACTCACAATTACAACTGCTCTTCAGGTAGCAGAGATCAGTTCCTCTGGAGAAAACAGTGGACTCTGTCATTATACCCTGCTGAGGTCACCACAGCAAATTGACACTGTTTGCCCAAAGCCAGAGCACTCCCCCAGAGCCTCTTTCTAGATTCCGTTGTATTGCTTTCACAACGGGATTTACTGCTAGTACAACATAAAACATCAATACTTCTTACTTTATTACTGTTGTATTAAAGCAACCTATTTCACAGGACAGTTGTGAGGATAAAATGGGGGTGGAGATAATTCAACAATGTTGGAAGCCGCTTTGGGTCCCTCTGGGGAGAAAAGTAGGGTATAAATATCTAAATAAATATTATATCGCTGCAGATTACTTCATTTTAACTTACAAACTCAAATTAGGATCATATGAAACAACAGAAACACAAACTAAGGGCTGTACACACTCAAATAAAAAAGCAAAGTATATTAATATTCTATTTTTTCCTAGAAAAAGTGGTAATTACCAGTGCTCTGTCAAAAGTTGGCTTGTCTGACAAATTGACAACCCTGGGGAAAATGTTGACTTCTGGTGGTGGTGCATAGTAAATACATGGTCCTTGGGTGAGCCAGAGGCTCTGATAATTTTATCTCAGTTCTGTAGTCAATCCAGACCTTAGAAGGTGCTTTATTTTGGCCAGCATCCTTGCATCTTCCGTATTTTAACAGCCTAGATAGGCTGACATTTCCTATCTTACTTCAGAGGTACCATCTGTTGGTAAAACATCAGATCATGCAATAAGAGTGAGGTGTTCCAGTGACTTCAGCTGCAATTCTAAAGCCCACTTTCAGAGGAGGAGGGCCAATGATTAACATGGGACTTACTTTAGAACAGACCTGCTTTGGAGTGCTCTCTCTCTTTTTTTTTTAAACTAAAGCATCCCCAATAAAATGCATCCCAATGTGTGAACCAATATTAGCTGACACCTCCATCTAATTCTTCCCCCAAGTTGCCAACCCAAAGAAAGTGATATATGTAGCAAGTGGGCACTGGCTGCTGAGGGACAGGGAAATGGAGGATTGGGTCTCAGAGGTCACAAAAGCTCTCCATCAGAACTAGTCGCAATAAGTAGTAGTAAAATATAGGAGTGGGTGATGCCTTTCTTCAGCCACAGGTACTCATAACCTGCCGTATATCGTACATAAGTAATTAATGTTTTCTAGGGGCAGATGCAACTTTTGCGTAGTGGCAGTTCTTATTCAAGCTCAGGCAGCTCCTCGTATTTTCTGCATCTTGAACTCTCTTCTTGATTTCATTTTTTTCCCACTCCCCTCCCCCCTCTTTGCAAGACAATTTCTGGCTACAAATTCATCCTTGCCATCCCGTTTCACTGATAACGCTCTCTCGAGCCTGCAACATTTGAAGCCTGGACCAAACGTCATTTTCCTCCTTGCTAACTAACGTGAATCTCCAGGCTTCGGGGATCTGAATGTACATATCCAAACGTAACGTTTCTACAGATCGGGCGTCTTCCCACTTACAACGCCTTTCCACTTGCAATCCCTCACCCGTCCCTACAATCGACCGACAACGCGCCTGCCCTTCCGGTGCAACCACTTCCAAGCCCAGCCCCACAGAGGCGGGTCCGCTGTCTGTCTTGTTAAGTGAAGCTCCCGCCCTCTTCCTGGTGCGCCGGTGCTGCGAGCTGCTGTAGCCGCCCCCTTTCCTTTCGCCAGAAGAAGCAGCAGGCTGGATGGCGGTTCACGGCGCGCTGCAGAGAAGCGTAGTGGCCCCCACGGGAAGGCATTCCGCCTCAGTCATCTTTCTCCACGGTTCAGGTGGATGCTTCTGATGGTCGCAGAGTGGGCTGCAGGGGATCGCCAATAAGGAGACCTGCTTGCTCTTTAGCGAGCGGCTCCCATTTCAGAGAAAACGCGCTGCAGCAGTGAGCGAAGAGGGCGAAGTTCCCCCTGGGAGGGTTTCTGGGATGGCGAGGGGGTTGGGTTAGCCTCCTCTCTGTGCAGGAACGAGCCGGCCTGGAAGTTTGCCCCATCATCTCTGTTGGGCATGTGTGTGCACTATTGTTTCTGTTGAGGTGACTGACCTGGGGAAACTCACTTTGAAGCTTCTTCACAATATGAGATGTGCAAATTACATGGAAACCTCCCCCACCCTTTTCTCATATTATTTCCAGTAAGCCAATGTGTCAGTCAGTTACGACAAACAGCAGAAACAAAAAGGCTTGTGGCATCTGAAAGACTAATATGCATCTGATGTCTGCCTTGTGAATGCTCACTATACAATACATTTGTTAAAGCAACCACACAACTCCTTTCTCTGATATTACAGATGGATGTTTTAATAGAATTTCCAGTTGTCCAGAAAGAAAATGGCTTGCCTTGCTTTTATGCTTCTAACAATTGTAGGAGTCAGTATGTGACAGCTTGGAAGATAAATATGTTGAACCCAGGGCCGGCCGGAGGTGTTACTGAGACCTAGGCAAGGCCAGCTTGGGGTGCCCGCACCCCCAGGCGATGCTAACCTCCCTGTGGGGCCTAGAGACTGAGGGGGAGGGGAGGGTGCCGCCATCACCCCTGCAGGCGAGCGTCACCCGGGGGGGGGGGTTGAAGAGTTTTAAGAGTGCAGCTCCCCGGCCCTCCTCCTCCATCGCCGCCAGCGCCCTGCAGGAGAGCCACCGGTGGTGGTCCCTGGCCTGGCGGCAGTGTCAAGAAGGGCACGGAGGGGGGAAGGCACAGTTCGGTGCCAGCTGCAGCCTGCAGAAAGGACATCCCAGGAGCGGGGTGGTTTGACGAGCCCGCGCCGATGTTTTCCCCTCAAATGGCTGTGCCCCGCCCCCAGCGTGCCCGGCGTCATGACGTCACTTCCCTGTGACATGCACGCGGGGGTGGGGTTTCCCCCGGGGCCCGATTCCGCAGGGGCGGAAATCGGGCCTCCAAAGCGGGGGGAAATCCGTGCACTCAACCACTACACCAAACTGGCATTTGAGGGTAAAGCACATGGGCAGAAAAATCACCACACTGTGGCCACATCTCCTTTCACCCCTTCTGTAGCTGTCACCCGGTCTCCAGCGGGCTTCTTAGTTGGAAGACAAACAAGGGTGTGGGACATAATGTGAGGGAAACGGCAACAGGTGGAAGCCATTTTTGGGCCATCGTGGCCCAAGCAGGTTTGTAGTCCACCTAGATAAAGCCTTTGTGACAGGTCAGGTTTGCTCCTCAGCTTAGCAGCTGAGAAGCAGATAGGGTTGCCAAGCTGCGGCGGGGGATCCGCACGTCTTCACAGGATCCCTGCCGCGGGGGACAGCGGTACGCGTTGCACCACCGTCGCCAGGATGTGACGCTACGCGTTGCTCTGGCAACGGGACTCCAAACAGGCCCGTTGCCAGAGCGACGCGTAGCGTCACATCCTGGCGACGGCGGTGCAACGCGTATTGCTGTCCCCCGCGACAGGGATCCTGTGAAGACGTGAGGATCCCCCACCGCGGCTTGGCAGCCCTAGATAGAGCATACAAAGCATTCTAAAAGCAGCTGCATCACATAGCTATACAACAATGCCAGCTGTTTTCTTTTCAGTCCCTTTCCCAATAATTGCTAGTGTAGAGGTTGCCCTTTTCAGTGCCAGCACAGTAATGATAATGGACTAGAAGTACCAAAAGAGACGGCATATTAGAGGTGCTTCCATGCTTGGTTTCTGTAGTGTTTCAAAGACCAGGGAGGGTGGAGTGTACAAGCATGTGATCACAGAGGACACCTTGGGAAGACTATAGTGTCTGAGCAGCTTTTCAATGCCTTTGGACATTTTTGGTTCTCAGACCACAAGTATGTTAAAATTGTTGTTTATCAGCAAGTGCTGTGCTTACAATTATTGAACCTGTGGCACCCAAGTAGGTGAGCTAGATCAAAGCCTTTTAAATGTGGTTTCAAATAACATTTTTTTAAAGTGTGAACACTTATTTGAGCTTATAGCACTGTAAAGTTGTTTAAAATGTTTTTACTACCCTAGTGCAAACTCAGCTTGTTTTTTTTAAGGGATAATTTTTCGTAGAAATTAGAACCACCAGAAGTGCCAGTTCCTGAGCAGTGACAACACCTGTTGCTTAAAAGCTCCAGGGCAGCTGAGACTTGCTTCACAAATGATTTCTCTCCTGCTTCAGTGTTCCCGCCCTTCTTCCCTAACTCCTGCTGCTGTGTGGATTCCTGCTTGCTACAGCAGATGAGGGAAGAGGGTAGGAAAAAGGACTGCTGCAGAATTGGGGGAAGGATCTTAAAGCAGCAGGAACTGTCTCCAAATCTGAAGCTGGCAGCCCCAATCAGATAGATCAAAATGGGTGTTTGTGTTTGTCTGTAGCAGTAGAAAGTGAGCAGTGACTCACAAAAGTTCATACCCTGCCACAATTTTTGTTAGTCTTTAAGGTGCTACTGGGCTCTTGCTCTTTTCTACAGCCCCTATCGGAATTACTCATGACTCATGTCACCTCACGCTTACTTTTAAAAAGTAAATGTGCAGATCGGCAAGCAGGATAGGAAAGCATACTAGGGCAAGGGCATCTTGCACTTATTAATGTGCTTTGAGTAGCTCCATTTAGCGCTTCTTATCAGTTATTAAATTGCAGGTTGAACATCCCCAAGAGTGTTTGATGTAACTTGACTTCCTCTCTCTGTTCCATTATTTTTCAATGTACTTACATTGCGAAGAATTTTTAAAGAAGTTTTAGTTTTACCAGTTCATGAAATTAGTTGCATTAGAGTTACAGTGAAATCTCGAAGTCCACTGAAGCCATTGAATGGGGTAACTCTGCTTATGGATCCTACAGAACTCTTCTGCTAATTGTGGTGTTTTACTCTGGCACAGGTGGTTCTTTGGGGGTTGCAAAGGGCAAAAAAGTTCTTCGGGATTCAGCCCTTGCTTTCTATCTGAGATGTACAATAATATTTAAAGTATAGGCCAAGTTTTTGGCATTGTATAAATGGACAACTGATGCAGACTTTATATTTCTGTATTGCTCAGGTGATACTGGCCAAGGAATAAGAGCCTGGATCAAGCAAGTTTTGAATCAAGATTTGTCTTTCCAGCATATAAAAGTCCTTTATCCAACAGCTCCTGCCAGGTACTCTGTAGTATTTTTTCATGCTAGTCTTGAATTGCTCTTTACCTGTAATAATTACTTAGATTGTAAAGAACTATGATAAGTAACACTCCTAAGAAGCTTTGAGCACAGTGGGATAATAACATAAATGTTTGCAGTGCTCATTTGTGTTATGAGTCAGTCCCCCTTGCCCTGAATTTATTATTACTTTCACAATTGAAAGCAAGATATGTTTTGAGCAACCTTTGTGCAACTTTTGGACTTTTACAGCCACAATTCATTGTGCATACTCCAAGCTGATTATTTCATCCTCTTTGTTGGTATAAATAAAATTCTCTCATTGTTGAAAATAACTCATGATTTGTGTAAATGGGGTTTTTAAAAAATCCTAAACATTGCAAACTTTACAGTGCACCTGCTAGTTTTCAAGTGGCACTGAAAAGATGCGTATGTATTTTTTAAAAAATGCCGGCCAGTTTAGAAAGTTCAGTAAAGCAGTTCTTCAGGTGTTTACAGCTGCTGCTTGTAACTAGCAGTCCACTGATGAAGACGGGATATCTCAAACATGAAATAAGATCCTATGTTCTGGGTAGTAGAATTCTCATTCAGAGACAATATCATCAGTGGATAGGTGGAAAAAATCTTTTGTATTATTGGCTAGACTAGAGTAAACGGAGAACAGATAGAGCAAGCTGATGTGCATTTAATGAAGACTGAATCCACAGATTCCAACTTTTGAAAGTGTACCCTAATTCTGATTCACTCTAACTCTATAGAAAAGAGTAAGGGTCCAGTAGCACCTTAAAGACTTAACAAAATTTGTGGTAAGGTATGAGCTTTTGGGAGTCACTGCTCTCTTATTCAGGTATGCTTTTTTGGTGCGTTTGCTAATGGTGTGTTTGCTAATGCCCCGCTCTCACTGCAGCTCACCTGGTTTACCACATGTTGTTTGGGGGCAGGGTGTCCAGACACCCATGGGGGGGGGGCACAATTTTGAGTGTCAAAGAAGACTGCAGCAGGAGGAGGGAGGTAGGAAAGTTGGCATTGCAGCTCTGCTCATATTGTATAGGATCCAAGACTTTATTCTCAAGTCATGATGTCGCAAAACAAATCTAGAATGATTTAAGTTGCTGGTCTTCATCTGGCAGATGTGGGCTGTGTGCTAAGGTGGGATGTTATCTTCCTTTTGGTGTGTAAAGCACAGGATATAGCAACCATGCTGAAGCCAAGTAGGTCTGAATTTAGTCAGCACTTCCACAGGAGACTGCCAGGAAACATATGCCACTTTGAGTTCTGTAGAAGGAAAGCAGGCTATTAATGTTGTAAGTAAATAATGCCTTTTTAAAGTTTTTAAAGTTAAGGCTTCTTAAAGGAAGAGGAAAGATTAAAAAGAGGAGGAAGGAATCAAACTCAGGAAGTGGAGAAGATCAAAGACCAAAAAAAAAGTTGGCCCCATGATCCTGGATTTAAATGTGCTTCTGGGCCTAAAAAGGCTACAGACTGCAGCAGGCCAAAGTAAATGGACAGAATAGACATAGCGTTATTCAAATTCTGTGTGTTCTGTCAATTATTTTTAGAAAACACATCAGTGTGTTTACTAAAGATGATGATTAGATGGCATTGCATTTTTAGCTGACAAAGATTGTAAGGCTGTTTCACAAGATTAAATAGTTGAAGATTACTATAAAGTTATTTCTTATAGCTTTGTTTGTGGTTCTTCACAACAATCTGGCTATAAATAATGTGATTGGAGATTGTATTAGCCTTGTACTTAATAGGTAAAATGAAAACAAAGTAGATGTAAGCTTAAGTAATTAAAGATGGAAATATTTGGTGAAATGTGCAAAGAGTTGGCATTTTCTGAAAAGTTCTGATAGGTTTTTCTCCCCAGTTCAAGTCTTGTTATTGGCCCTCCAGAGTAACGGCCACTGTGTGCAATAGGATGCTGGGCTAGATGGACCAATCGTTTCATCAGCAGCCTTCTTATGGTTCTATAAGATGAGACTTTTGATCTTCATGTAGGAGATGAGATTTCTTTTTTTTAATTGCTTACTTTAAAATTTTTTTATAATATAAGGGTTACAGGGGAAAAAGAGATAGGGAAAACAGATCAAAATATAATTACCAAAAAACCTATTATGAGGGCAATTTTACAAAAATTAAAGACCTTCCTTCTTCACAATTTTTATGTATATGTAACAAAGTATATGATATAATAGCTTAACATGTCTTTAACAAGATACATATGGCATAATGGCATGAGTATAGCTTAAAATATATATGACTTATTAACTTAAAAACTTATATTTTTATTTTTGTCTTCTCAATCTTATTATATAATATAACAGATTACATCATAGAAATTTTTATAAGATTTCACAGAACAGTTTGTTACAATAAGCAACAGTTTGTTATAATAAACAACATGTATTACACTTTTCATTTCATATTAAAACTGTCTCATAGTATTATCGTTTACTATTAAACCTTTCAGATATATTACTAAAGAAATTAGTTATAATAGTTATAGAAAACTCGCCAATTATTTTCAAATTCATTTTTTGGTCTGTAGGAGATCAGATATCAAATGCATGCCAGATTCCCCAGTTGTACAATGGGTCAGTTATTACAGGGCTGTTGTATCTGCCTATAAAAAGGTATGCAGCATGAAATTAGCACATTAATTAATTGTGAGAGTGAATGAACTAAAGGTTGTAAGAGCCCCAGCCCAACTTTACATGCCATACATATGGTAGAGATAATTATAAATGTAATTTATAATGTATGTAATTTATTTCAAGATTTAAAAAAACTAAAAAGTTTGTAAAATGTTTCAATTGTAGTGATTTTTTTTTAAAAAAACTTTAGTATCAGCTCATGAGGAAAGAGACTAAATTTCCGTGTTTCCTACAGTACCTGCTGTCAATTTGCTAGTAGTTGGCAATGGCCTATGTGTGCGTGTGTATTATTACAAAACTCTCTTTGACTATGACACTATTAGGGTTTTATTAAGGCTGTTGGAAAAGCAAATTTAATGCAAAAGAAAACTATCAGAAACAGCACTAAAATTTGCTACCAAATAAATGCTTAATATAGAGCATACCAGCTGCTGCACAAACACTAGATCTGTGGTTCCTAACTTGTGGGCCCCTGGGAGGCTAGGGAGTTACTGCATGGGGTCCATTAATCCATCCAGCTTGGGCAGGTTTACACCTTGTCATATTTGTGCCTCTCTCCCCAGTCTCACCTCCACTGCAGCCATGACCCCCTCCCCCGTTGGTCCAGCTGGGCTTAATCCACCAGCCAGCATGGATTCTCCTCCTCAATTGGGTCCGCCTGCACCAAGCCACCTGAAAGCAGTCATTATCATTTCATCCTTAGCCAGAGGCCCCCAAGGGTGTACCAGGCTGGTCTGGGCTGCTTGTCTACATGGCCAGGAGAATCACTCCTCATGAGAGTCTTAGGTGGCGCTTATTGGCTCCCATTGCGCACTGCCCCTTGTCTCCAGTGACAGTTGGAAATACCTGTGCATTGAACACAGTTGCTTTAAGGAGCAGCTGTTTGGCTGACAGCTTTCTTGTAGGCCGGTTGGTTAGCTTCCCCAGCTCCTCCCACATCTCTGCCAGCCTGGAAAAGCCAAGAGATGCATCAGGCAGCTGTCATGGGCCAGGAGCTTCACTGGGACAGAGTGTCTCCCTCACAACCACCCCAGGGCAGCTCAGTAAACTTATATTGGAATAAATGTTGTTATTAAGGTGCTGTTTTGCAGAGAAAGGCAATGGCAAACCACCTCTGTTTCTCACTTTCCATGAAAGCCCCAAGGTGTCACTGGACAGCATCCCCTGTCTCATGAAATGACTCAGTATAATAAATAGTATATTGCAAAGAACGCGAAGTGTTGATCCCCTAATTTACCTGCTCTTACATGGGCAGTGACGTCATCCCAGGGAAGGGAGTTAGGACATACAAGAATTTTCTGGTGCAGGCCACCTGCTGCTACTCCCAGATGTATCAGCATTGTCCAGAAAGCACAGGTTGATCCCTAATCCTGAAACTAACTGAGCAAAGGCAAAGGTGGAGGGAATGAGGGAGGCTGTCCTGCAGTTCATAAAAATGTTCCTAAAATGTTTTGGAAACATCTATCCATCCAGCATCCTTTAGAGTTTAAGAGTAAAGTATGCCTCCAGTTTTCATCCAAAAAGTTTGTTAATCTGTCTCAGATATCTAAATTTTGGCAAATAGAACGTGATCTCATTCTGGGCTTTATCAACAGAAGTATAGTGTCCAGATCACATGAAGTGATGGTATCACTTTACTTTGCTCTGATTAGACCTCACCTAGAGTATTGTGTTCAGTTTTGGGCACCACAATTTAAGAAGGATGTAGACAAGCTGGAACATGTCCAGAGGAGGGCAAACAAGATGGTAAGGGATCTGGAGACCAAGTCCTATGAGGAAAGGTTGAAGGAGCTGGGTATGTTTAGCCTGGAGAGGAGACGACTGAGAGCTGGTATGATAACCATCTTCAAGTACTTGAAGGGCTGTCATATAGAGGATGGTGCAGAGTTGTTTTCTGTTGCTCCAGAAGGTTGGACCAGAACCAACGGGTTGAAATTAAATCAGAAGAGTTTTCAGCTAAAAATTAGGAAAAGGTTCCTGACAGAGTGGTTCCTCAATGGAACAGGCTTCCTTGGGAGGTGGTGGGCTCTCCTTCTTTGGAGGTTTTCAGACAGAGGCTAGATGGCCATCTGACAGCAATGCTGATTCTGTGAACTTAGGCAGATCATGTAAGAGAGGGCAGGAAGGGTTATATCAGTGCTTAGTTCTTGTGACCCTTTCTTACACGCCTGGAGAAATGCTGATCACTTGGGGGTCAGGGAGCAATTTTTCTCCAGGAAAATGGAACTGTGAGCAAACTGACATGTACTCAGGATGTATAGCAGTAGTGCTTATTTATTAAACTTAGCATAGTTGCCCAAATGGCCAACATTTTTATAACCCCTGACATTTGGAGCATCCTCC